AGTGCTTGAAATTTCCCATTTATATTTTTACCTCGATCACGGAGGTCACGTATTCACCCCTGTATGTTTGAGATTTTGTTAAAACTACAGAAAACATTACTACAAAACTGAGTGGAGGGATGTGGTATGTATGGTGAGAAATTACATTTTTGTGTGGATTTGGATCATACAGGTTCAGGGGACGGATATTGTTGAGTGTGTGCATTTTGGTGCAGATCCATTTTAAAATCAAGATCTAATGGGGTTTAATAAGGAGGCCTTTATGTTTGTCTTGTTTAAATGTGTATTTTCTTCAGTGAGATACTGAAAAGTCCGTTAAAAAAAGAAGTTAATAATTCTTCCAGTAAATCACAGTTGGTTTCGGTCCTGATTGGCTCCCCTCAGTGAGAGATTCCTAACACCAGTGAACAGGGTTATAATGAGCAGCATCTTGCAAAGCCTCCTCTCAGCAGGTTCGGTTTATTTGAATTAGAGGAGCTTGCTCTTAACTGCTAATAATGGTCTGGGGTTAAGACTGTGAGAAGTTGGTTTTCCAATCCATTTAACAAATTCCCCTTTTACTTCACTGCATTAACTTGCACAACACGCTGAAGGACAGAACTTTCACTCTTAACTGCAGCATATTCAAGTAAATTGAACAATATCTGTCTGTTTTGTTTAATATAAGCTCAGAAGATTATTTTGCTGCCCAGTAGTTTAAGAATGAATGGAGGAGACTGTGCCTGCTCCACAGACCCAGCAGGCCAAAATAAATGTGATTAACCACACCTTATACTCTGGGAAATAAATTGTGAAATAAAATGTTGTCTGTGTGCAGTTCCAAAACCGCTAACACAGTCAGATTTCTCAGCCTCAGTCGGGCCGGGTGGTGGTCTTTCAGCCCCCGGTGAACCTGCCTTTATCTATTATGGCTTCTTTACAGCCTGAGCTCCCGCATGATGCTTTTCCTTTTACAGATCCATTGAGTGGAGTCAGTCAGTCACCGCAAGCTTTATATAAGTCCAATCAATCTGAGTTATAAAATCTTGACATGGGCTGAGGCCGTGGTACAGCTGAAATTTACAGCTGTTTAGATTGCAAGTAATTTTCCCATGGCATGTGCATACACACACTGCATATGCCTTGTGGAGCTGAGTGAAAATAAAACCCTGCCTGCGAGAGATTTCAAATCTGAGTTTTACTCCCTCTTTGAAGCAATCATGAATGACTGGGTACATTTACTGCATCAGACGACTTTAATACTCTTTACTCGGCCATAAACTGAGAGGGTGGTGTGTTTGCTGCAGGTCGTCCAGTAGAAAGCATTCTCGACGCTTTTAGGAATGATGAATAAACCGATAAACTGAAGTAGCCCTGACAACCTTTAGGTGGCAGCAGAGACTGCTTATCTCCTCGAGGAGAGTGATTACTATTCACAGCACTAACCAGGGTACATATCAACCCAGGACGTACATGAATCGATTCAGTTTAATGTATACCCACAGTTGCACAGAATGAAATATTTACTTGTGTATGACACTTCTCCGTAGCTCGAGAGTGGCTGTTATTAGGCGTAGCAAGTTGCTGCTGTCATCACCTTGAGCAGACTCAGCTCCGTGTGTGTCTCTGTGTGTGTGTGTGTGTGTGTGTGTGTGTGTGTGTGTGTGTGTGTGCACTTGTGCGACCAGCACAAGTTCAGCATCCACATCCAAAATGGCCCAAGAAGAAATGCTGTCTCACCGTCAAGACACTGCAGGAAAAGAAAAGGAACATTGTAGCCTTTGTGAATGTGTTCTCACTGCACACACTGCAGCCTATTCTCACTGTGACTGTCCTGATGTTTGCTGCTCTCACAGAGGATTTGTGTTGTATTTGGTTTTGTTAATTGAACATGTCTGTATGTGTCATTAAGCTGATGCTGTGACCTCTCCACATCTCTTAAGAATACACCCACGCTTTTAATAATGTGTGTTAATTTATGCAACGTTTGTTGTTAACATATTTGTTTTTATGATCCTCTGGATACATTATACACGGTGTTGGCAAGTCTATAGTCTGCAGATGGAACTATCCTGTGGCTATAATAATACATGTACTGAAATTAAAGGCATTATGCAAATTGTACATACAATGTGCTCAAAGCTATATCTATGTTCCTTATGCATGCAGACTTAATTCAATGGATCTGTGTGAAAGCACTTAAACCAATGATTGAACTCGATATACAGCCCCTGAATGGAAGCCAAGCGATACAGATTAACAATATGACATCCTGAAAGCAATATTACACTTATGTCATGCAATCTGTTAAACTGTCTCTAGGCTGACCAGATGAACAGAAGACCAAGATATGGTTTCCACACAGCTGCATGTGTGTGTTCGTCTGTGGATTTGCTCTTGACAGGAAAATGTTTTCCGTTTCTCCTTTATTTGTTAATTTTGGGCAGTTATATAAACCCTCCCCAGCTGGCTGGTTTCCTGCACAATTGACTGCTATTTATGTTGATGCATAATTGCATTACATAATGAGTTGTGCTGTGTTTAAGAGGAGTCAAACAGCTGTGGCTATTGGCTGTCTCTGAGTCAAGCACTCTGCTCTCTCTCTGCCAGGCGACAGCCTAATCATAAATGGGAGCTGTCACAGGTCATTGTCAATTTTAAGCCATATCAATGGGGCTTTTGTAACTGCTACAGCACCTCAATATATTTTGTCAATGAATTGTAAGATTTTAAGTCCATGGAGATTTGATTCATTTATATTCTTTTATCAGACCGTTGCTAATTTAAACACAGCAGTCGTACAATGTCATCAGTGACAGACAGAGAAATCAATCTCTGTTATGGAGAGAGAGGGAGAAAGAGAGAGAGGGATAGACAGATAGAGAGAATGAGATAGACAGACAGAGAGAGTGAGAGAGAGAGAGATAGACAGAGAGAGTGAGAGAGACAGACAGAGAGTGAGAGAGATAGACAGACAGACAGAGAGAGTGAGAGAGAGAGAGAGATAGACAGACAGACAGAGAGAGTGAGAGAGAGAGAGAGATAGACAGACAAACAGAGAGAGTGAGAGAGAGAGAGAGAGAGAGACGTGGAAGGAGAGGTGAACATTTGCTGCGGCTGACTCTGCCCGAAGGTTCCCCAGCAGATGGTAGTGCAGCATCGCAAAGGAACTTCTTTCAGCACAGGAGGAAAATGGTGCAGGAGACGGGCTGTCTGAAAATGAACGCTGCAGATTCTGAGGTACGAACCTTAATGGGATAATAGGATAATATCTTACCTACACCATCATTGTGCAAGGCAGCACATTTTGAAAAAAAAAGACAGAATCATGAATGACAGCAGTATATCTTTCAACATCTCCCATATGGTGTACCCAGGGGGACGATTAAAAGTGGAGCACATTAAAAGCCGCGGTGCAATGAATGTATGTGCGTATGGCTGCAGTTTTGAATCCAGTCACTTACGTAAATGAATCCAGGATTGAGTGCAATCATAATATTCAAACTGCAGATTAAATACTTGATACGGCAGGAGCAAAGGCATCCAGCTGGGTTTGCAGAAAACAAGGATCAGAGCAAATATCAAATGTGCTCACATGCCATAAGTCAAACTTGTCTACAGGGGCTTCATTTGCATCACAAAGAGCATATATTACAGGAGTGTTTACGATTTTTATGTCATCAGATGTCGAATGGTGTCTGCATGTGAAAAACAGGTATACTGATGTCAAAATATAAAGCACCCTCTACCTGTTACAAGGCTGAGATCAGGCCTTTTCAAATTTACCCTGCATGTTGAAGTGAAATCAAACTGGTTGATTCATGAGAGTTTCACTCTGACTATGCCCCAACACAAAGTCGGTGCTGTTTTGCATGTCATTTGGGAAATAAGTTGGCTGCCTCTTATCTCTACACTGGATGGGTGCAGATTCACGCTCGTAAAAGTGCTTGAAGAAAGTTTGTGACACTGTAGCACCAAACAGGCTGAGAACAGAAAGTGGCCATACATACATAACCATGCAACATTTAATATGTGCTCACCTTCATGCACACACAAGGCAGGATGTCATGCTCTGATGACAGGAGCTCGGGGCAATATTCATTAAGAAGAACACAGGCGTTTTAAGGTATCTCTCATATATGTTCTGACTAAATCTATCAGTGATGGAAACATCAGCCGCTAGTTCTGAGGCAGAGCCCAGTTCTTTGAAGTTGAGCAAAACGGGTCTCATCAGATAAGAGCTCTATAGACTGAGACATCCAGCATAAAAAAATGCTGTGATTGGGAACCTGGTAAGCTAATGAGTTTGCACTTCTATCTTCTCAATTTGTACAGGCTTTTGTGCCAAGGCCTTTGAGGCTTTTCTGTGCCAAGTCTTGTAATAGTGTTCCCATTGTTCGCCTGAGAATCTGACACTTTTTCATGAAACTTAGGGGGAATCCATCTCTCAACTTTTTTTTTCACATGGGAAAGACAAGGAGGCCAGAAAGAAATCACTGTGAATTATGGATTTTGCTGCAGGGACATTACAATCACAATGAAATGGTAGCAGATATAAAAAGATTCCTCTCTTAAGAGGCTCCAAAGATTCTTCACAACTGCATCTGAGCTGCAATGCGGTGTAACAAGTCATAAGTAGTTCTTGTTTAAGACTTGTGAAACAATAGCCAACCCCCCCCCCCCATGTGACAGCCTGCGAGAGACTGAACTCTTGCACTCTTATAGGCAATAATCATCAATAACTATTAGCTGTTGGCTCCTCAAATAATGTGGATATTACAGTTGCATTTTTCCGTTCAGAGATTTTGCAACAGAAGTGAAATTATTTAAGGCTGCCTGTGTAGTGCAGCGGTCTCCCTCCTTCCCTGTCTCCCACCCTCTCCCTTTCTCTCTTTTGGTTCGTCTCTGTCTTAGCAAACCGCATAACTATCTGATAAATGAGCTACAAATGAGGGAGGAGGTTTTACACTTGGGTGTTGTTTAAATTATCAGGAGGGCAGTGACCACAGTGCTTATTTAAGCTTAAGATGCAGGCTGTGGAGATTTGCTGGGAGCAGATCTAGAGGCTGGTTTAGTCTTCAGGCATGTCCAATCCTATCCATTCAACCATTAATGCCTGAGAGTAGACCAGAGGAAACATTACAGCCCTCAGATCAACTCAGAGGCAGTGAGTCCAGAGTCCCTCTCCTCCTCAAACTCACTGTTTTTACTCAGTAGAAATTCCGTTTTATACATGACAAGACAGTGCTGAGCTCTCTCCATATCTCCCTCACTATTTCAACACAACTGTGCACCCAATTGATAATTACAGTTACCTTCAATCTGATAATCAGCTGTCTGAGGAGAGTGGGATAAACACAGTGCACATTATGCACAGTGTTGTGTATGTAAATAGATTTCACTCACAAATATTCTACAGGTCAAACATGCTCGCAGCAGCTTAATGAGAGATTGGAAAGAAAATTAGAAACAAATGCCTCCAAAACAAAAAGCCTGAATTCTTCTGTACAGTTCATTGGTACAGTACAAACAGAACACCCACCTCCCTCTGTAATTCACAGGTGCACACACACAAACACGCACGCAGTAATTCTATGAGGCTCAAGGTTGTCGTGCTTATTGAATATATCAACTTAACCACTGATGTCATTGATCAAAAAGCCAATTCCAGTTCTATTATTGTGTTAGAGGGTAAAACAATTGCCAAATGACTTTGTAAGGTGCACTCACTTGGTAAACAGATCTGAGATCCATTAAAGCCTTGGAGATTATCAAGCCTCAGTCCAACAATTTGTGGAGATTGCTCTAAACACCTTGCTGCTGACCTTCCTCGTCCAGTTGAAAGTCAATGGGAAACGTGGCAGGGAGCCCGCCGATGCCACAAGCGCCCCCTGCACTTTAATTATATCGTGCTGCAACGGACGGCTATTTCCTTGTCCAGCCATGTGTCCCTGTCGATACCCTGGACCCACTTATATAGTCCAAATGTGCCATAGGCTTAATAGTCCCCATGATACTGCTGGCCACACTTAATCAGGGTATCTTTGTTCCATGATAGATACGGCATATAAGTCTATCTCATTAATATTAATGCCAGGGCTTTGTTCCATGCATGCTGTGCTTTGTGGTTTACTAAAGCTGCCTCTCTCTGACCTCTGAGTGAGGAACGTGGATGTTTTCCATGTGCTTAATCATAATGCACACTATCTACTGCATTGATAGGTTAATGTACCCAAGAGGATCAATGCAGACTCGAGGACGTCTAGCACACCAGACATTTAAAGGTTCGGGAAAGGCTTTAACAATGTCTGTCTATGTTAGGATCTCGTTCTGGCTTAATTAAATGGGGTTGTGTAGGGTCTGGTAACTGGGGTGATGAGTTACTGTAGATAATTGGCAAAAGCAGCTGTTCTAAAGAATGCAAATTTAACCGAGAGTTCATTAAAGGCAAATAAACAATATTTTTCTACCGATGTTTGAAAACTTATTCTTAAAGATCAGATTAAGTTCAATACTACTAAAAAACAGGAGCTATAATGAATGTTTATAAACTGTGGGGTCCTAAATCAGATACAACTCAAAGCTGTCTGGAAGTAGTTTCCATCAGTTATGTAATGTTGGACTAATATTTAGAATATCTGAAGATATCTGAACCCATTCCCTGAATAACTGACTGGCAAAGGATCAACAGTTGAAGCATTTTTTTACTGGTAATTTCCATAAAACATTATGTAAATCTGCTTTCGAAAA